CACTGTTCATACGTGTACATGTATTTGCTTTGCAGTCCTAGGGAGAAAGCATGATTAGAATTGATTTATGAATAATCATGAACTAAAATCGTCGTCCCAAAGGTATTATAAATCTCTCAAGTAACATCCTTCAGATATTGAGAAACAGATTAGTCTGGTCAGACACAAATATTTACATTTTTGAATTTTGTTTTACATATATTTCCTTCAGGACTAAAAACTATAAAAACTGCCAGAATAGTCTAAATTTGAGTTCTTGTCATTTCATAAATCCTCACTGGCATACGGCCCGGATTATAATAATAAGCATAAAATTTGTCGACTCAGTAATTTAAGTACATTTATAGCTGTCAAAAAGGGAAGGTTAAAATGACACGGCATTGAGGGCATTTTCGCAGCAGGAAGAACTCCACAATCAAAGAGGTAGGACCAGTTTTTCACACTAGGGTCACAGTTCTTCGGTTAGTCTAAAATCTGAAGTATCAGTTTGTATATGATCTTTACGATTGTAACCATATGATGGCGTATTTTTTTTTTTAGCTTTTAGTCTAGTTAGTAATTGGCAATACCTAAATATGTTTCAACACCAATTTTGAAATGAAAAGGACATTCCTAACCAAAAGAAATATTCTTTAGAGGTAGTTCGTTAGTTGGAGTGCTTAACTTCTTAGAATTTTTTTTATTCATTTTGATTTCATTTAATGCAACCTTTTACAAAAAAACACAATAACAATTATATTTTATGGGTGTATGTAAAGTTGTTGAATGAATCTAAAGTACAAAAAAATCACTTAGTTTAATAAACTTTCGGATTTTGAACTTGTGAATGAATTTGGGTCATACCACTTTTTAGAAGAAAAAAAACCCAACTTTTTGACCATAGGTGATTCCAAATGCAGCATTAATTAATACAAGATTGAAGGTAAAAAAAGCAACTACAAAAAATTATGGTCTGATCAAAGAAGAATAATAAAATTAATTAGACAATTTATTATTAATTATGTATTGTCTTTAATAATGAACGGTAGACTATCCTTCGGTCTCACCTGTTTGATTTCACTGGAGTTAGCTAGTTCATTTTACCTGTAAGTAGAATATATTACAGTAAGAACATCATAATATTGACTTTGTATATACATTATAAGTTTGATTTGAATGTTCGTGCATCAAAATCTGTTTTTGATGGGCATTTCAAACGCGTTTTTTGACCGAAAAAAAAACCAAGGAAATAAAGAAATATGTGCAGCCTAGTTTTAACATCGATATTTAGTTTGTGTTTAGAAATCATTTTTATCACAGTAGATGTTCGATTCTGAGATGATGTTATAAGTTATAATACATACACCCAGTCATGTATTTATTGTCCACTGCTGGACCATATATATATATTCGATTTAAGTTGATTTGTGATAAAATAACGAGATTCAGCGCTTTACAATCAACCCCGTTTCAAAACATAATATTGTGTTACCAGTTTACGTGCAAGCATTTCTTGTAAACAATCTCCCCAGTCTTTACAAATTTGATTTTATTATGTTTTGTCCCATATTGCTTTAAAGTTATATTTATTTCCTTAGATGTATATAATATATTATTGGTCTATATATAGATATATAGCAATGGTATTTAAAAACTCTCCTTGAGAGACATACGAATAAATTATACTTCCTTAAAGAACAGTCTCTATTGTTGTTTTAGAAAAAGGTCATATCTCAAAGTCGACACAGAATATCAGGTCGCTTTTTCAATGTCAGATAAAAAATACTTCAACATAACATTTAATATCTTTCCTTGCTAAAAAATTATATATTAGTACTTAAAACTAGTACATACTTTTCATAAATTATATATAATCGGTCATAAGTTAAGGATCACTTCATCATGAAAAAATAGCTACTAGAACATTTTTGTTGTACTTACCTTGTGTTGAGAATTAGATCGCTTTCATAACTATCAAAACACATTGCCAATGTAGACAAATAAATAAAGATTAGAAAAATATAGACAAATAAAAATTAACATTTCGTAAGCAGTCATTTTAAAACTAGCAGTCCATTAAATAAAAAATTATAAATGTGATGGTTATTACCCCTCCTCCTAAAGTATGCAGTCTGTTTAAAAAAAACTTTTTTTAAAGCTAAAGCTCTCTTAAGATATGCATTTAGTGTTGGAAATCAATGCAACCAAATAAGATTTCATACCATATTATTCAAGATATAGAAGAAACAGGAAAAAATGTCGTGTTTACTAATAGATAGTTATCAAAGGTACCAGGATTATAATTTAATACGCCAGACTCGCGTTTCGTCTACATAAGACTCATCAGTGACGCTCAGATCAAAATAGTTATAAAGCCAAACAAGTACAAAGTTAAAGAGCATTGAGGACCCAAAATTCCAAAAGTTGTGCCAAATACGGCTAAGGTAATAAATCCGTGGGATAAGAAAATCCTTAGTTAGCTAGAAAGAGGTAAAAAATAACTACAAATTATTTATTGCCAATTTCGGCACTCTCAGTGGCAGAAGTGTTGGATTCGGAGGATGTGGCGTAGAAGGCGTTAACCCTTCTTTAATTTAAAATTGTTTGTATAAAATCGTCAAACAATGTTTTCGCCTCGTTCCGCTCCGCGCTTTATCTTCCGTTTTTCGGAATTATGCCCCTTTCGAAAATCATATTTCCAACCCTAGCTAGGCAGCAGTGTTGTACAAAGACCCGAAAACATTTAAGAATTAACTTATGACCAAGTGTGTATTAACGTGTAGTATCATGATAATAATAGTAATAACTAAAAATATTATCTCAAGATATAAACATAAGAGGATAAAAGCCTATACAATAAGACATTACACCACTGAATGTGAACTTATAATTTCTTGATTTTGGACCACATGTAATGAGATCACCCCCAGTTTTTGGTGCATGTGTTCGTGTTGCTACATGTAAATGTTTAGTTTTCTATGTTGTGTTTTGAGAACTGTTGTTTGCCTTTTTGTCGTTTTCTTTTTTGGCAATGGCGTTGTCAGTTTAATTTTCGGCTTGTAAATTTGAATGTCCCTTTGGTATACTTCGCCCTTGTTTTTTATAAAAATGAACAGAGTCTCACGTTCGCTATATAGAGAGAAAGACAATAGTGTTGGTCGGATTATATCTTAGACGGTGTTTAGCTTAATATAATAATTTATTTTATGTCAGTTAATGACATTTGCTTTATAATTTAAACAGTATCTTGTCTCGTATAATCGCCGTAACCTTATTTCAGCAATGGGATGACCTTTTATTGCATTATCTGTGTCGTGCAGCTAATTACGTTGCCCCAAGTATAGCTAGAGTAGAGGGTATTGGTACATAACCATGCATATTAGACCAACAAATATATATATTCGTTTCCTGCCTCCTGACTGAAAGAAATATTTGGAACAAATCAATAAATATTAGTCCAACAAATTTGTATCCTACCTGCTCGGTAGAAAACAGAGGGTAGATAGGTAGGCTAAACAATTATAGTTTAGGAAAAGTATTCTATATACTAGTAGACTATTATATAAATAACACATAGCTGAAAGGGTGATAGAGCAGATTGTTACCCCTCGAAAAGACATTGTCAACCTCAGTTGACAATGTTTTCTCGGGGTAACAATCTGCTCTATCACCCTTTCAGCTATGTGTTATTTATATAATAATCTGCTCTATCACACTCTCAGATATGTGTTATTTAATTTATTATACTGAATGTTCTGTTAATACTGTTTATTAAATTTCAAATTCAAAGTAATAAACTATGTCGTCTTGTACATAACAACCATCCGTATTTATTAAAGCGCACACTTGAGCAAGCGTCTCCGTGAAGGGTAATATAGTATTTGCCATGGGATAGAGTAAATTGTCTCCCTCGCATTAACCAATCAAAATCTGGCATTTTGACATGAAGTATAATAAATATATATATAGGGAAAAGTTCTAGACTAAATGGTGAATAACCAATGATGTCTAGTCGTTAACAGTGCTTAACCAAAAGTGTCAATAAAATGTTTTAGAGTAGGTAGGGAGGCAGGAAATAGATCTACATGTATGTTTATGTTTGGCCTTATGATATACTTTATTACTACATGCATGCAGCTTTGACAGGTTTGATAACACACTTAAACGAATGCATGTATACTAACACATGCACCTAAATCAAAAAATCAATTTGACTCTTAAAGGAAACGTACATTCATGTATTGAGCTCCAAAATCACAAAATAATATTTTTTTTTAGTAAATTTTGCATCAGTGTTTTCTTTTTCTGCTTAATGTCACAAAGTTGTGGCTATTTCTTTTCAATGGCTTTAGCAATGACATTAATTTTTATACACTGAAATGGCCAATAACATATGTAATAAATATAATATTTGTTTACCAAGAGAACATATTTGCATTTTCCAATACTTGCCTTAATAAGACTAAAAAGACTACATTCCGATGCTAATCGCCGTATTTAATATGCATTGAGGTGAGAGTTTTTGCTCCATGTTGAAGGCCACACTGTGATCACTCATGCGAATTGTCAATAAAAGAGGGTTGGACTAGATTGGTGTGTCCGCATTGGTATAATCTTTAAGTTAATGACACTTTTTCTCTATTCTTTATTTATTTTGCCCATTATTATCTATATTCTTTATATTTGATCACCTGCTTATTCTCTTTTCTTCAATTTTTGGTCCATTCGACACACACACGGCCTTCAACAATGAACAAAGCCTATAGCATTAAATATGATATCAAAGGTCATGGGGCTACATAATGTAAACTATATCAAAGAGAAAACTAACGGCTCGATTTGACCTTACTTACTAGTATATAATACATGTATATTTAATAACTCTTGTATTTGCATATTAATATCTCTAAAAGCAAGTTGAATACTAGTTCTTATTTTTCTATTCATGATTATTTTATGTTCCTCTAACTTTTATTTTGTCAAATTCGCTTTTAACTTATCTTTTTCTTATCTTTCTACAGTTTCCATCATCTGACTTCTTAGTTCAAGAAAACTCGGACAACATAACCAATAGTAACGGTATACATCATCTGAATACTAGCAACCACACTAACCAATCAGATCGCCAGAAACCTTCTAACATCCGGGCATCTGATAGTTTCTCTAACCACTTTAATCATTATCCTACTTACAACCGTGCCTCACAAAGTAACTTCAGCCAATCAGATCACGACTCTTTAACTAATAACAACTCATCCAAGACGCATGACTCACTGAACCCAAACGACAGGCACGTGACTTCGGAAGCATGTGATAACTCGCACTACGTCCACCAGGAGCCCCCTGTTCACATTCCAGAACGAGACTATCCCGAGGACGACGACTCGTTGTCAAGCACCGAAAGTTTTACAACCCACTCAGCACCAACTTATAATTACAAATCGCATCAGATCAACCCAGAAAACTACGAACCACCAGACTTACCTCCGGATACAATTTCAGGTAACAGAGGTGTAGACTCAGAAAAAGGATAGATAACAGATTAAATTTGAGACTATCTCATTAAAATACATATCCTGTGTCCAAGCTTTGCTTACAAGGATCTGAAAATGCTCCGTTCTACTTTCTGTTTTAAAAGGCCTTTCGGCATTGTCTGGTTTTATTGGATTAATACGCACCTTCACAAATTTGAAGGGTGTAATTTCATTGGCTAGTGTAATACTTTATATCAGAACCGAAAGTAAAACGAAGTGTTGTCAGATCCTTGTAAGCAAAGCTTGGATACAGGATCTGTGTTTTAATCAGATTGAAGTATGAGACAATTTACAAATTACAAATAAATCAGAATTTTCAGTAAAAGCATACTGCATAATGGAATTATTAACATTATAGGCTTGATGTCATTTGGTCTATTGTGGAGGGTTGTCTCATTGGCAATCGTACCACATCTTCTTTTTTTATAATTGAGACAATTTACGACAAATACAAATAAATGGGATTGTTTAGTTAAAGCATGTCGTTAAAATTTTTAAGATGGAAACCTGTTTAATTACATTTGTTTCTTGATGGAGAAAATGTTAATTAATCACGAGGGCATTTTATAGCTTAATTATTTGAGAGTTTTCTTGATGGGTTAGCTTGTCAATAAGATAAATCACGAATTTTTTATTAGCTATTCACAAATATACTAGACTGGTCTAAAGGTTTTTTCCAGTTATCCTATGGTAGGTACTCCAATTCTGTAGGTAGTAAACAATTGCTATTTTGATTTTATGGTCTACCTTAACTTAATTTTGTTGTTTTTGTACACTATCAAGTATAGGAGATGAAACGATCCTCAGACACTAATCCCAATGTAACATGTTTTGTTTACAGAGGAAAACAAATAAAATGAATCTGACCAAACAAAAAAGATAGGAAACATTTTTCCAAGAAATGTATTTTACCAATTTGCTTATTCTCAACATGTGTTTTCTGAATAACAATCGGATACACTGAAGACAATCGGGTACACTGGAGACAAAAAGTATGGACAGCTACCAATATTAGTACGCATTTTAGAGCATATAAATAAAGGGGATGTGAGGTTTTTGTCAAGAGGCAATAATCCAACAGATACAAGAACCCACAAAACACGGACATCAATATATACTTCAAGCAAGCAACAATTACTTAACCAACCAGACAAAATACGACATTTTGGGCTAGACAAGTTGCGAATAAATTAAACATACTACCAAGTGCCTGCCATCCACAAAGGGGGGAAACAGAAAACATATTCTATGATAACCACTGCTCAGGTTTAGGACTACAGACAGGCAATTTTAGTACTCGACCCTTCCACTTCTAAAGCGTTAATGGAATAACAAAACAAAACAAAAGACAACTTAAAAATACATTCAACATCGTACGTATACGAAAATGCAATTAAAAGATGACAAAAAAAAACAGAGGAAGAAGAAAATAATACGTTCTTAATACATGTATTACAGTTTTATAGAATAATTGCAGTTACTGAAAGCAAGCTTAATGCATTAATTTTATAAAAAAAAAAAAAAACACCGAACTTCGTTTCTACACTTTAATATCAACTGCTGCATGTATTTCCGACTAGTTTTCTTAACCTCTCCTTTCCTTTCTACAGGTATGAATCGCCGTTCTATATCGGCGCACCCCTACACAGTAGGATAGCTAATGCGCTATATACAAATGTCCACCCGCACTCACTAAAAACTCATATCAACACACAAAAGAACGTGTAGAACAGAGCAAAAAACACCATCTATATACAGTATATATAGTTTGTGTCTGGAAAAGAAGTAGATTCACCATCGAAAGATACAGTTCTCGGACTCAACAAAGATGGAATATTTGAAATATTATGTGAAAAATTTGAAATATTATGTGAAAAACGGAAGAAATAGCTGTTTTAATTTTACTAGTTACAATATTGTTGGTGATATGGCAGTAAAGAGACACATCCTTAAACACAATTATTACGTTTTAATTTATGCAATCATAATATGTATTAACATCCGACAGTAAAAATGAGGGTCTAGGTTGGGTTTACAGAGTAGAGAATAATGGTATAAAGAAAAGAGAAAAATGGACAAACAATTACAAAAATATAGAGAGAAAATGGAATAAACAAATAAAGAATACAGAAGTATAGATTCCCCCACCCCAACCCACCTCACCCCAGGTCCTGATACAATATATCTAACAAATTGAAAGTTATTATTTATTCTATACACATTCACTTTACGGAATCACCCTTGCTTAGATTTTCTTTAAATACTTTGCAGAAAAAGATTCCGAGAACGGCAGTCCATTTTCTTTGGATAACACCGACAAGGTATTATCCGAAACAGACATTAGGACACAAAGTGTCAATGGTACAGATAACAATCATAAAGAGGGAGAAAGTGAAACTGTTGTAGAAGATAATATTTCTGCTGGACAGGATAGCGATTTATCGTCTGAAACATCAACATTGTCGTCTGCTTCAAGATATGATGACGTAAGCAAAAAACAGAAGACGACTGACAGTTCTGTTCATTTTTCAAGTAACCCTCATTTTATAAATTCGCCAAACGCATCTACACAAGGAACTCCTGCTAGCTCGCCACATCGTGTATCATCACCGCGTACGTCCATTTTATCAAAAGCAACCGGAGACCAAAGCAGTCAGCCAAACTTTGTTTCAACAAATGTTGAAGAAAAAAGAACTGTGCAAACACTGAAAGATAGCTTTCAACGCAAAGACACTTCTTCGCGTATTCCGACTCCTCCTCCGTTTCCCGGAATTCCACCAAAAAAACCGACTTCCGCTTCAAATATTCAACCAAAAGGAGCAAGAAACATGACACAAACAACAGCTCCTAAATCTGATTGGTTATCAGAGCTTAAACAATTGCATGACAGCAAGTCAGAAACAGACTTGCGTGATACCGGTACATGTGATCAAAATGGCGATTCTGATGTTGCACAAATTCGCGCCAATGGAAGTGCTGATTATGCAGACAAATATCGACCAGTATCGATGACGAATGGTGAAGTAAAAAAATCACTAAGGTAATATTACTTAGCATAAAAATATTGACGTCTGTTGGGAACGAAAATTTAAATTATGCAATCTTCAAAAAGTTAAAAACATTTTGTAAATTTGATTTGAAAAGTCTTATCTAGGTGTTGAACGTGTATGAGCGAGTTTATTATCCTCTTTATAAAATATCACAAAAATGCACTACTATGCTTTAAAAATTAAGAATTACAAAACCATGTTATTTATTTTGGGAAACAAAATATTTGATATTTGGCGCTGGAGGTTGAGGAGCCATCGGTAAATCATACTATAGACAAATATTTGATAATTTGTACTAGAATTTCAAAAAATATAAAACAAAAACTACCTGTACCTTTGGCTTTAAATTGTTCGTCTGACTGAAGAAAACTAATTCTTTCAGTTCTTCAAATCCGTCGTTTTACACACGCTGTCTCAAAAATAGTCGCGTTGATATAATAAACGAACGACATCTATTCCTGTGCGACCGTGTTTCTGTAATAAATTTCATCAGTACCTGTTTCAGAACAATCGCATAGTTACAATTATATACTTTATAGTTTATATCGTTTCATACTTTTTGTGTGCCATGGTTGTTTCGCACCTTAGTTGAAGGCCCGACAGTATGCTTCGATGTATTAATTCTCAAAACAAAATTAGCCAAAACTTTGTTTTGATTTGTATTACTACAGTGTTTGTGTGTGTAGTTAAGTATGGACATTTTGTGTTATATAGAATTGTCTTTATAGTAAACAGTTGATAGAACACTATATCAATGTTTTTGCATGTATCAGTAATTTAAAGAAAAATACGCACTAGTTACTTATATGCTAAAATGGAAATAGACTTAATGAAAAAGAAATTTTTCGCTTGAAATTATCCTTTTAATTTTACGGACGCCATCATAATTTGTATGAATGTTATAAAATATCTGTGTCAATCTTCCATGTTGCAGCCCCACTATTTCGTCAGTCTTTTCTCGTTACGACATCGCCAAATGCGACTTATTATCGGATTTTCACTGACCAGAAGCAATTTGACGGACGCCACTTGTGAAGCAGGAAATGCACACACCCTTTCGGAGCATTACACAGAGAAATCTCACTCACGTATTTTTCACGTGAATTGACATGCATGTGAATCTCACACGCGAAATTCACACAAATTTCACCTCAAACGAACTTGTACGTGAATCTCATGTGAACTGATATCAATATATAAAACTCTCACGCGAAACTCACATGAAAATCACATGAATATTTTTCAGGTGAAATTCACGTGAATTTTCAAATAGAATTATTCAAATAACGTCTCAATTTTAAAATTTGATTGAAGTCATGAAAAATACCAATTTGTCTTTTGTAAAGGTCACGTGAAATTCTCGTAAAACAATTTCATGTGAGATTCAAGTGAATCTCAATTCACGTGAGTTTCACGTACAAGCTCGTTTGAGGTGAATTTCACGTGAGATTAATGTGAAATTTATGTGAGCAAAATTTACCTGTGTACATAACCTCAGATTTTTTGGTTGTGTTCTTTTTGTGTAGTGTTTTCAGGACTGCTGTTTGTCTGTTTATCTTTTTCTTTTGACCATGGTTTGGCAGTCGTATCTTCTTTTTCATTAAAGTAAATTTGAAATAGTGGAATAAAATGCATTTTATGTCTAAAACACTAACTTATGATGTCAAAATTCCTTTTATGTGTTGTAGGTCACAGATGTTAACAACATCATCATCGACAGGAAATTTAGCGTCAATGGGCAGTATGAGTCCTGTAATCGGTAGAAGTTTAGTGGACGAATTGAAGAACAAAGACTTGTCCGATTTAAAAGTAACCAAGAAACCAGGGGAAGGGAAGCAAGTCAAAATGGTCTTTTCCTTCGGTGATCCGAGTCCGGTAAAAGTAACACAGAACAATAGTCCTCCAGTCAGTGCAAAAAATGGCAATCAAAAGGTATGCAATGATACAAGGTACCAAATGCTATTTCTAGTGTGAAAATCAGTTATATATATGAGGGTCTGGATAGGGGTACCTCATTTCTTTATACCTTAATTATTAAGACAATTTTTTTCTCTATTCTATATTTATTTTGTCCATTATTCTCTATTCTTTATATTTTAGCACCCCATTATTCTCTATATATTATTTTTTGTAACTTTTTTTCTCTATCTTTGCCCTTTAATTAACACCTTTTTTCATTATTCTCTATCCTGTAAATCCCATTTGGACTCTCATATATTATGCACCAACCATATTTCATCTTTTTTTGGTGTCATGGGTTTTCTTCTCGGCACAAACATTTTGTTTTCGACTTTAATCAAATACAAAAAAAAAAAAACTTTTTTTCGACTTTAATCAAAAATGAACTATATTTGTTTGACTTTGATTCAAAAGAACTCTTTCCATAACATAGAAGAACATAATATGTTTTAAAGTCAATGTTGAATTAATTTATCAAAATAATTTATTTTAAAATAACAGATGCAGAAATTATAATCGATTAATGCGAAGGAAAAGGTTAATACATTAACATTTACTGAATGGTTACCGTATAACGATTGGGGTAAAATGGAACTAAACTTTAAAAGAAGACTTTAAAGTTATTCAACTTGTTTATTGGTCTTCCTTCTATCTGTCACCATGACAAATTGGAGTACAAATTAAAGCAAAATGTAATGTGGACGTGCTAAGTAGTCCTACTCGAAAAATTGAGCAGCCGGACTGACATTAAAAATGGCGCGATTTCGGTATACTTTTTTCATTCGTTTACTGTCAAGTACTGACAGGTAAAACGATTGATTATAAACACGGATATTAAAGAGAGGTATATAAAAATTCCTATTTTTGGCATTTTATATTTTCTAAAACATTTGCATTATTTGCCTCAACTTAGAATTAAAGATTTTGATTTTCGGCACCACAGTTTTTAGTTCCTTTTCGGGATTTTTCATGAAACAACATTAAGAAGAATAACATAATCATTTCCCACAAATTTGAAATAGGCCAAAGACCACAATTAATGATCCCGCTTACGAATATAGCTCCTTTTAATTAGAGTAAAATTGAGAATGGAAATTGGGAATGTGTCAAAGAGACAACAACCCGACCATAGAGCAGACAACAGCAGAAGGCCACCAATGGGTCTTCAATGCAGCGAGAAACTCCCGCACCCGGAGGCGTCCTTCAGCTGGCCCCTAAACAAAAATGTATACTAGTTCAGTGATAATGGACGTCATACTAAACTCCAAATTATACACAAGAAACTAAAATTAAAAATGATACAAGACTAACAAAGGCCAGAGGCTCCTGACTTGGAGTGTATTTTTTCTTAATTTTTTTTCTATCCCTTCCTCACTCATTTCTTAAATTTTTTTGGATGGAAATGAAAGAAGAGAGGTGAAATAAACTTTTGGATGTTGTATTTTAACTGATTTTGATATGGAAAGAGTGATTATAGGCCAGGTGCAAAAAGGTGATATTTACAGTTTTCGGAACATCTCTTGACTTGTCCATAGGGGTATGGATGTGTATTGGCTAAATTTGTAAGATGCTGGGGAGCGATATTTCTGAATGTTTGATACATGTTTGGACTAGTACTGTCCTTTACACACACAAAATATTTGACAAAAAGAATCGGTGCATTTTTTTTAATGAAACCAAACGTTATAAAGAACTAATAGAGAATTTAATTGTGGTCTGTGGCCTATTTAAAGAGGTGAATTCAGGAAATATTGAATTTGTACTTAGACAACTTCCCTGAGATCTATACACCTTATCGCTATTTGTCCGACATTACTGGACATCACACAAGTTCCCGTAAAATTTTGACGTCATAATAGAAAATATCTGACGCCACAATGGAAAAGTGATAATTTGTTGTATGACGTCAAAAGTTCGAGCGGGAATGATTCTCGGGTCGAGCGGGATTAGCGATAAGGTGTATTGGTATTAATTTGTCAAACTACATGAGAATAAATGATTTCCACTTTTATTTGATAGAAATTTTGTAAAAAAATGACATTTCAGCCTACATGCCCAAAATTGAACTTTTTCAGTTGTTTCAATATTTTTACAAAAGTAGCATGCTTACTTTCTCTCTGACAGGTTTTTCTGATTTTCTATTTGTGTTTGTGGTATCTAATGTAGATGTTTAAATCATTTTTGAACACTAAACATACAAAAAAAGTAGATAAAATCAGAATAAGAGTGCAAAATGTGCTGCTTTAATGGTCTTAGTCTAACGGTCAGTATGAAGCAAGTGAAAAATGAGGTTCTATGCACATAAAAGTTGAATTCCTTTTTAGCAGATTTCACTGAATCTGTATCAAAAGCACTTATTACTGGTTGTTTGACCTTGTCTGTTTCACAGACTACCTTTATTTTCTTTTGCTTGATAGCTAGTGGTTAAAAAATTGGCCTTTTTAGGCTGAAATTTCATGCCGGTTTTAAAAAGTAAAGTAAATAACTTTGCATCAGATCATACTGTCTACATATATATAGTTGAAAGTGACAGTCTTGTTACATCCAGGCTCCATGTTTTATCATATCTGAGCAAAGATTTGAGCAAAAAGAAGCATATCTCCATCTCCCATATCATTTATAATGCTTTTTAATATGCAAATGTGAGGAACGACCTAAATTGACAACCTGCTTTTTTAAGCTTGACATTGCTGAAGACCATTTTATTCACATGTGTTATGCTATTTGAAACTTATATTTCCATTAAAAGTACATTTATAGCATGTAAAAGGTTTTTTTATAACTTAGCAACTTCAGAAAATTGTGGTAAGTGAAAAATATTACATTTCATATAAGGCCTCACTTCATTTGAAAACCTCTATTTTTTGGCACAGGCCCATATAAAAATTTACTTCTGACCATTTTTTATAAGTCTGAAACATGAAGTTTGCTATCTGTTGCTTTTAATAGGTGATAACTTATACATAGAGACATTAAAAAGTGTAAGTTTTGGTATATTTTGGTTTTTAGAAGCCCAAATTTGATAGTTGAAATTATTCTAATTCAACGCCACAATTCAGCACCTAAAGTTCAGATATAAAAAATGCCACAATTTTTATAATTGGTATCATATGGCTTTGAAACTTTGTTAACTGTTTCATAATACACTAAGCTTAAATCATGCCAAGTTTTATTAGAATTGGTTAAGGTTTAGACCCCTAAGAGGTGAATTCAGGAAATATTGAATTTGTACTTTGACAACTTCCCTGAATGATCTATACACCTTATCGCTATTTGTCCGACATTACTGGACATCACACAAGTTCCCGTAAAATTTTGACGTCATAATAGAAAATATCTGACGCCACAATGGAAAAGTGATAATTTGTTGTATGACGTCAAAAGTTCGAGCGGGACTGATTCTCGGGTCGAGCGGGATTAGCGATAAGGTGTATTGGTATTAATTTGTCAAACTACATGAGAATAAATGATTTCCACTTTTATTTGAGAGAAATTTTGTAAAAAAATGACATTTCAGCCTACATGCCCAAAATTGAACTTTTTCAGTTGTTTCAATATTTTTACAAAAGTAGCATGCTTACTTTCTCTCTGACAGGTTTTTCTGATTTTCTATTTGTGTTTGTGGTATCTAATGTAGATGTTTAAATCATTTTTGAACACTAAACATACAAAAAAAGTAGATAAAATCAGAATAAGAGTGCAAAATGTGCTGCTTTAATGGTCTTAGTCTAACGGTCAGTATGAAGCAAGTGAAAAATGAGGTTCTATGCACATAAAAGTTGAATTCCTTTTAGCAGATTTCACTGAATCTGTATCAAAAGCACTTATTACTGGTTGTTTGACCTTGTCTGTTTCACAGACTACCTTTATTTTCTTTTGTTTGATAGCTAGTGGTTAAAATATTGGCCTTTTGAGGCTGAAATTTCATGCCGGTTTTAAAAAGTAAAGTAAATAACTTTGCATCAGATCATACTGTCTACATATATAGTTGAAAGTGACAGTCTTGTTACATCCAGGCTCCATGTTTTATCATATCTGAGCAAAGATTTGAGCAAAAAGAAGCATATCTCCATCTCCCTTATCATTTATATGCTTTTTAATATGCAAATGTGGGGAACGACCTAAATTGACAACCTGTTTTTTTAAGCTTGACATTGCTAAAGACCATTTTATTCACATGTGTTATGCTATTTGAAACTTATATTTCCATTAAAAGTACATTTATAACATGTAAAAGGTTTTTTTATAACTTAGCAACTTCAGAAAATTGTGGTAAGTGAAAAATATTACATTTCATATAATGCCTCACTTCATTTGAAAACCTCTATTTTTTGGCACAGGCCCATATAAAAATTTACTTCTGGCCATTTTTTATAAGTCTGAAACATGAAGTATGCTATCTGTTGCTTTTAATAGGTGATAACTTATACATAGAGACATTAAAAAGTGTAAGTTTTGGTATATTTTGGTTTTTAGAAGCCCAAATTTGATAGTTGAAATTATTCTAATTCAACGCCACAATTCAGCACCCAAAGTTCAGATATAAAAAATGCCACAATTTTTATAATTGGTATCATATGGCTTTGAAACTTTGTTAACTGTTTCATAATACACTAAGCTTAAATCATGCCAAGTTTTATTAGAATTGGTCAAGGTTTAGACCCCTGATAGGCCAAAGACCACAATTAATGATCCCGCTTTTCGTTGTCCACGAATATAGTTTCTTTTAATTAGAGTGTATTTTTTCTAAAAAAAATTTCTATCCCTTCCTCACTCATTTCTTTAATTTTTTTGGATGGAAATGAAAGAAGAGAGGTGAAATAAAATTTTGGATGTTGTATTTTAACTGATTTTGATATGGAAAGAGTGATTAGGCCAGGTGCAAAAAGGTGATATTTACAGTTTTCGGAACATCTCTTGACTTGTCCATAGGGGTATGGATGTGTATTGGCTAAATTTGTAAGATGCTGGGGAGCGATATTTCTGAATGTTTGATATATGTTTGGACTAGTACTGTCCTTTACACACACAAAATATTTGACAAAAAGAATCGGAGCATTTTTTTAAATGAAACAAAACGTTATAAAGAACTAATAGAGAATTTAATTGTGGTCTGTGGCCAAAAGTCTGATGAGCTAAGTATTTTGCACATATTTGTATATCTGATTACCGAAAAATGTGATGATAAAAAAACAAACATACACCAATAATCTTCTATTGCACCTGCCTCATATAAACAGTATTATCAGATTTTCATCATATTGATATTGTAAACTATCACCTGCTCTACGAAATATGAAGGCTTTTCGTTTGCCGTGCTCATTCGACAAAAGCTTCATATTTTGACTCAATGCTGATTGTTAACAGTATCAATATTCAGAAAACATGATTATCGGTATATTATTTTGTTCTTCAAATTAGTCTAAAAGTTTTGAACAATTTTACAGGAAACAAAACCTAAATCTCCAGTATTAATGGGAGAATTTGATCCAAAGAATTTTATGGATAAAGTCCCGGATTTAGATCCCGCTGGAGCAAAGTATCCTGAATGGAAGAAGCAACTCTTAGCCAGACAGTTGGCAGAGAAAGCATTACAGGAGTCAGAAGAAAAGAAAAAGGTAGGCAATTGTTTAAGTTTTTGATTGATTGATTAACTGATTGGTGTTTAACACCACTTTCAACACTATTGTGCTATTTCGTGGCGGTCAGTTTTTATTGGTGGAGGAAGCCGGAGAGAACCACCGACCTTCGGTAGGAAAACTGACAATCCTAGTTAATTAAGAATGCAGTCGAGTGCACCTGCCCCGTACTGGATTCGAACTCACAACCTCAGTGTTGACTGGCTAGTGATACAGTAGTTTAAGTTTTTGATACTTTTTATAAAATTGTAACAGTATTGCACTGTGACTGCTGATTTTTTACACAAAAGATTGAGGAGGAAATGTCATAATGGTACCGATTGTTTTATGCATCCGAAAAATAATTCTGGAGCATATTTTATCATTTCCTTTTCCGTACTAATGTGTGTCCAAAACAACTGCTTTGCGGATGGTCACTTGAGTTTCCCTTGGTTAATTGAAACGACACTTATATCTCGGAAAAATAGATATGTCCCAGCTAACATAGGTGGAAACTCTTGCCCAGTTTTTTAAGGATGGGTATCATTTATTGAAATTATTTTCATAGCCATGTTTTGGACGCAAGCCCCCAGGCTTAATTCGTTTTCAGTATATGCCCTTAAAATGTTTGTCTGTATATTGGTGCTCTTGGAAAAGAATTTGTAACAGTTTAAGTTTTTAAATACAATTTTTTTCGTACCAGAGTGAGACTTTTTATACTCCGGGGAGCATAAAGTCCTTGCTTAATCACGTTTGTTGATGTTGACTCTAGTATCCCACTATTAATTGTAATACATTTATACAGGTGACAAAATACCAATAAAACACATGTTTTCTTTGTCCATCCAAGAAAAATGTTTTGAACCCTTAAAAATACAAAACAAACCTTGAGACAATACGCTCAATTTTGGTTTCTCACGATGAATGTTTTGTATGGGAAGTGTCAACTTTATACTTGCTCCTTTTCGTTATATGTTTTAATATGAATCAAGCAAACCATACCTTTATTCTGTAATATTTACATATTTACAGCAAGAAGAATATGAGGCACGTTTTAAAAACATGCCAGCATGGAAACGTCAGATGATTGAACGAAAGGAAGCTCAAGCAAAGTAAGTAATATTAAAATATGGAGATGTTGTATTAATTGGTTCTTTTCTTCTTATCTGTTTAGCTATATATATAAGATGCATGTAAAGGTGACTTATATACCCGTATGTTATTGTTCCAGAGTAGAGATGTATGATTGCAAATGAGATATATATCCAAGAGAGACCAAAGGACAAGGTTGTAAACACCTTAAGTCCCCGTACCTCCTTTAACAATGAGCAAAACACACACTGTTAGTAAGCTATAAAATGCCTTGGTATGAAGAGATAAGAAACAATTTAAATGAGAAAACCAGCGGCCTGATCAATGATCGTAAGATTGAAAAAGTATAACAGAAAAATATCAAGGAAGAAGACTCAGTACAATGTAGTATATCAGGTGCATATATATATATATATACAAAGTCAAACATAAACAAGTCTTAATTGAAAACAACGTTCAAACCTATGATTGCATTGGATAAAAACCGCAATTTTTATACGTATGCATGCAAAACAAATTTCTTGTAAGAGGGGTCTAAATATAGCACAAACAACATATGCCAAAAGACCAAAAAAGTGAAAAAGTATATTTTAACAAAACGCATTTGACTAGCAGGTTGAACAACTGATGTTCTTAAACCCTGCTGACTGCCATTGGCGATTGCCAAATAAACGGATCACAAGATGTAACAAAATAGATCTTATTATTAATTTATTACCAAACAGAAAACAATAAACCTGCGGAAAAGATGGTATACCGCAAACATAAGGTGCAAAAATTTAAACACCATATCCAGATTTCGACAATTAATGTCTCTTCAGTGATGTTAGGAATCGAAACGGGATTTGGAAGGCCATATAATTTACCTAAATTTAGGATAGACGCTTGAATTTTGAAAGAGTCAAAATAGGATGAATGGATCATATAAACCCGAAGGCAAATATAATACAAGCCCAAACGAAAAAATATAAACAAGTCTTAATTGAAAACAACGTTCAAACCTATGATTGCGTTGGATAAAAACCGCAATTTTTATACGTGTGCATGCAAAACAATTTCCTGGTAGAGGGGTCTAAGTACAGCACAAACAACATTTTCCAAAAGACCAAATGAGTGAAAAAGTATATTTCAACAAAAGGCATTTGACTAGCAGGTGGAACAACTGATGTTCTTAAACCCTGCTGACTGCCATTGGCGATTGCCAAATAAACGGATCACAAGGTAAACCTCTCCTGCTTTGCATGTAGCACCCATTTGGCAAATACACTCAGTCAAAAATGCCACTTTAGTGAAAAAAGTTATGAATTAAGGCTATAATAGTATATCGATGTTCAAATCTCATAAATCGATTAGGAAAAAGTAAAATTACAAAAATACCGAACTCCAAGGAAAAATTCAAAACGGAAAGTCCTTTATCAAATGGCAAAATCAATAGCTCAAACACATCAATCGAATGGAAAACCACTAGCATATTCCTGACTTGGTACAGACAAACCAAGATATATATAAGGTGTTGAAATTGAAAAAGTTAAATTCTGAATGTGTTTGAAAAACATTTTGTTTTTTTTTATTATTTTACAGACAATCTGGAAACAAGTAAAGGTCACAATGGTGAAGATTTATTTGTAGATAATATCTTTTTAAATTAGAAAATTGATGGAACATTGTTTTTTTTCAAATAAAAACAATTACAGGTTATTGGCTATTATAGAGCTACATAACATATCTTCATGTCATCTATGTGCTTCTAGAGATGTACATGAACAATATCATCTGAAATATAAGCTTGGGGCTGTTCCATTAATATAGATGTGAGGGGGGAAGGAACGGAAGTTTTATTTTTAGATATGGGTCATGAGTCGTGGGCTATTTATGGTTGTATGTCCATTTGATATATACAACTAAAAAAGTGTGTTGGTTGTGAGGGGATGTAGTATTTGAAGTCCCTTCCTACCTTCCTACATCCATTTTATTGGAATAGCCCGAATGAACATGATCATCTCAATGTTATATTTCCACGTATGTATTCATTTTAGCAGTCCTAAGAATGTTTCCGGTCAGTACAGGTACTTTTATCATGTTTTTGCCTCATAATTCACAAATATATTGTATTTTATTTTTTCGATAAGAAGAGATTTACTTAATACCATATTTTCATTTTGATAAAGGTTGCATTCACTCAATTAAAGTCCTTATGGAATTGGCTTGATATTTTTATTTTCCAGACCTTATCATTACTTTTAAGAGCTAAAAACATAGTGCATTAGGCAAAGGCATTCTCTTCATCCTTCCCGTGTACATTTCAAGAAATAGTCAATGAATATGCCAATACTATGAATTTATACTTTAGAAAAGTAGTAGTAAAAATGAGACAAGATTAGATTTACAGCTGTCAGAGAAGTACATTTTATCTCTGTTCCTAATACCATGTGCAATATGAACTGTAATTACATTGAGACGTCTGAGTTCAGAAGACACAAGACAATTGCAATAAAGATGCACACGTTTATTCATGAATTTATAATTATGGGACATTTACAATATTTACATTCATGTTCACTTTTGTCTGCTCTTCAATGTTATATCATAGAAACTTAACTTCAATCTCAAATATGTTAGTTATTTTAGAAATTGTGATCTAAATGATGTGAATAAAAATGGTTGAGAAAAATAAAAAAATGATATTATTCATATTCACAATGTATCACATCAACAGAAACTTATTTTTCTATTATTTTTTTAAATATTCTTTTCTTATGTATGCTTTACTGGGTTTTAATAAGAGCCTGCTCTAATTTGACAATCAGAATTGTGAACAAGAAGGGACAAAACATTTAGCAAGATATAACAGTTATGTTCAAGCATTACATATAATATAGTTTTAACAAAAAAGTTTGCAATTCAAAAGTGAAATTATTCATTAAAATTGAATAAGATATTTTGAATTATCTTTCAATATAAATTGAAAAATTGCAATGTTTTGTAAAGTTAGACTCTAAAAATTATGATGCTTATATTGTCCATTTTGGATGTAAATATCATAGACTAAAGAAATATATGTAAGTTTCCTACAAAATGGATTTCCTAAGTTCTTAAATGTTTTTTGTAAACATTTGAAAACTAACAAATATGCATTAATAATTGTAAGGTCAGAGTTTATTGCAATGTTTGTATTATTGAGAAAAAATGTAATGTGATTGCACTGATTAAGGCTTGCATTTAATATGTTTATCACATTATATGTATGAAACATTTCATGAAATCGCATTAGTTATTCCCCAATTTTTGTCGGCTTATCATCAATCGCAATAATAAATCCCAACAAAAATTCCAGTATTAACTATTCTACACTTCATTGTAAGCTAATGGCAATCGTTTAGATTTTATGTTATACCAGTATGCAAATATAGAACAGAAACAAACAAGAAATTTCTGCAACAGCATCTTTTTAAGAAAAACTTGGATCATTGAAGTTAATAAATACATTTCCCTAATGGATCCAGGATTTTTAAAAAGGGAGGGGCAAACATTCGACCTAAAAAGAGGGCAGCAGTAAAAAAATCAAAGCCGATATTTCTCTACTCATTACTTTGTTAGGAAAAACAACATATACCAATACAAAATAACTAATCAAGTTATTGTTAGCACACGAAATTAGAAAACCTTATTAAAAACCTTAAAATTTGACCACTTGCATAGAACCAATAGTTGGAGTGTTTTTTGTTAGGTTTCTTTTTGAATTGTTTGAATTGTTTGAAGTTAATGACTTTATGATATTTATTGATTGTTATTGTGCTGTATATATTATGTTTATGCAATATTGTGTAATTTGTTATGTTTTTAATGCCACAACATTGTATGTCTGAAGCAAAACTTAAAGAGAAATTATGAAAATTTGCAAGGTACTTGCTTAACACTTATCGTACAGAGATCATATGATTTCCAAACTTGAAACAAGGTTAAACGGTCAATACTTGACCAGAGTTTCAATTTCAGTAATTTTGGATGTATATGATAAGGAGAGTAATAAACTATGAACCTCATTAATTTAGTGAGGAAAGTTTCATGTATACAGTGACTCCATAATTTTGCTGGTCCATGACCTTGCATTGACTTTTTAAGGAAGATGTGCTGCATAGTAAACTAAGGGAATGTTATTTTTAAGTGGTAATTGATTTCCAGAACGTCATTTGTCACTACAAGATTTTAAACATGAGTTGACAATTAGCATATATAGAAAAGCTGTACAATTTAAGAAGTTAAAATTGGAATGCTGTTAAAATAAAAGTTAAATGTTGAGTATATCATAATTTTGAATTTGTTGTTTGACGTCTGATATGAAGGAGTTGTGTTTTGTTGTTATTATTATTTGTCTCAAGCTGTGCTGTAAATGTTTTTAGGATGTACTTGGGTGAGGTTTATGAATTTTTGTCAGATGTTCGGACTTTGTGGGTTTTTTCCTATGATACAGGGTAAAATATTTTGCCCCATATCACCCACTTTTCTTTTCATAGAAGACTTCAATAGCTCATAAAAATGTCATTACCAAAATTTAAGCAGATTCTAGATTTGTTTTCTTACGATTTTAGACCCTATTAATGCCAATTCTAAATATAAGGTAAAAGACTGAGCCAGCCTTTTCCCGCCATTTAAAAACAAATCAAATATCTCTCAGTTCCATAACCTATCAATATTTTTAGCTAATGTTGTTCCTTAACTAATATTCTTCTGACTTATAGTATCAATTTTAAATTCTAGATTTTTTAGATTTCACCTAAGTACATCCTTAAGACACTAAAGATTATTATATAATTTTAGTGCAGTCAGTAACAACATTATAATAACTGAGTATCATACACTTGCCAAAAATATTTTCAGTATTTTCAATATACATTATACACAAGTATATTTATTCCTATATACAATTGTGTTGTTTAGATGAGTTACTATATTGTAATTATTAAGTTTAATCAAATTCATTATTATCCATTTGAATTTTATACCACATTGTAATGCTTTGTCACATGAAATATATTTAATGAATTGATCTTATGTTATTTTTGAATAAAGAGAAACACACCTCCTGGCTATTTGGCTCGTTTGGTTTGGTCTCTTTGACATTGCAGCAGGTTTCCGCTGGTGGTCGGCATTATCGGTTTTCTTTTCCTTCTTCCAAGTAAGGAACCGAATTCCTACACGAATGTGTATGATCCCGCGAAAACTTTGCGCAGTGTCGGGTAACACAGCTAGTCCTCTCAAAGTTATTCACATTTAAAACATTCTGCAATTTACAATTAAAACTATATCCAGGATGTGCTGTCTACTTCCTTTCAGAGCAGCTCTGAGTCCCTCTATTGTGTCGGCCGAGGTGACTTTAGATGGAAGTTGATTCCAGTCCCAGATGGACTTTGGGAAGAATGACTGTACATAGGTATCAGGTTTTTTTGCGAGAAATATTAATTGTGGCGAAAAAAATCGTTGTTGTCGAAAAACTTTTACGAAAGAATTATGACGGTTCGGAGTCGTCCATCTTATTTATTTTTTGGCGCTTTGCAATGTAATTAGCAGTATCTATAAATGTAAACAAAAATATCATTCTATTTTTAGTGTTTATTTCTTTAAATTATGATTATAGAAAATAGATTAATGTACATTAGACGACGATGCTGTAAATTGAAACTTATAATATATGCAAAAAGGATGTTAGGTTGGCAAAAAAAAATTGCTGCGGCGAAGAAAATTGACCAGGGAAAAGCCTGCATAGCAGCGTAATAATACATGACAAGAAATTGTATAGCTGCCTTAATGAACATGAACATAATCTTCAAGAAAAAGTTAATGTGCTCTAAATATGTTGAACAAACATGTCACGTTCATGAATAGTTCGATCATGAGTAGTCCGAGACTGCTATGACGTTTGATGGGCCTTCTTAGCTCATGTTAGCTATTGTCATGACTTGCCATACATGTACGTTGTCGTAAACTTTGTCAAAATCCTCTATAAAACCATTCGACAACCAAACTATAATTGAATGTCCCTTAGGGTATGTAGATAAAACTCATCATAGATACCAGGATGAAAATTTTGTCCGCCAGGCTAGCGTTTCGTCTACAAAAAACTCATCAGTGACGCTCGAATAAAAAAAGTTAAAAAGGCCAAATAAAGTACGAAGTTTAAGAGCATTGAGGAGCCAAAATTCCGAAATGTTTTGCCAAATACAGCTAAAGTCATCTATTCCTGGGGTAGAAAATCCTTAGTATTTCAAAAAAAAAATAAAAGTTTTGAAAACAGTTAATTTTTAATTATGACAATGTCAATGATAATTCATGTCAACACAGAAGTTCTGACTACTGGGCTGGTGATAGTACAGAGTTTGTGTTTCTTGTTCCTGTCAATCCACCATCATGACCACTATGGCCAAAAATTGAACATGGTGATAAGATGCACTAATTGACAAATCTTAAAGCCATAACAGATAGAGCAAATCGACATGGGCATGACTGCTAGGAATTATACAATCTACTTACTTCCTATTTCTTTGATGAGCAATATATGGACTTCATTAACAGGAGTATGCTCCTTACACAAAAACTGCTCCAACAGAGTTATTAGGAAGAACAACTGAAATCGACACTACATAAGTTTTACGTTCACCATTATGAAATGGTTGACGATACGACATTTTTTTTGGTTTCAACTCAATAACAACATTTTTTCGCAGTCTTTTTCTTTAGATGCTAGAACAGTCGTCTAATCTGTAACTTCATCGTTTGCGTCCTTTTCCTGATTGGGACATCTTGACTGTAGTTGATGCATGCATATCAGAAGACTCATAACCTGTCGATGCACCAGTCTCACTCCTTTCGAAGTCCATGTGTTTCCCTCTGGTTCTTTTTTCTGGTTAGTATATTCAACATGGATTTTCGAGTTTTAAACATTGGTAACCTACTGGTGCCTATTATTTACAGCTGTCTTGACAAATCGTTTTCAGCATATTCGTCTAGCTGCATCTGCATGCAAATCAAGAGACGCCTATCCTGTCGACGCGCTCGGTCTAGCTCCTTTTGGGTTCATGTCACTCCCTAAGTTGTTGGTAACCATGATTTGTCCTCTTAATGGATTTATGAGAGTTGAACATTGGTACAGTTACTGTTACCTAAATCTAAATTTCCATTTACACTAAATACCATTCAAAAACTATAGTCACCTACCAAAAATAAGTGACCCTCATATGGATTCATACAATTAGCTCATCATAGATACCAGGATTAAAATGTTGTACACCGGACGCGCATTTGTATGCAAAAGACTCATCAGTGACACTCTAATCAAAAAAGTGTCAAAGGTCAAATAAAGTACGAAGTTGAAGAGCATTGAAGACCCAAAATTCCGAAAGTTTTTTTTTAAATACTAATACAGCTAAGGTATTATATTCCTGTGGTAGAAAATCCTTAATAAAACGGAAAAAAATAAAAGTGTATAAAGACCTTTCGGGATTCTCAGGTTATGTTTGAATGAATGCAAACCTTCAAACAGTTAAGATGCAGACATTTCGTTGGCTAAATTATAAATGTGATAATTACCAGCTAGAACAAACAGTATATGATCTGTATTTTAATCAGATTGGAACACATAAAACTATATAAGCAATATACCACAGTAGCTACTGACAACATGTATCGGTAATTAACTTTTAGCAGTGACATTTCAAGGGATATTATGTCGTTCACGGTTAGTCATCTTCAAATGTCATAGGGTTTCATAGCAGTCTGGCCAATCAAATCTACCGTTCGGTGAATCTAATTTACAAGTTAACGAAAAGTATAAAAAACTTTAAGTCTTTAATTGGTATACGGGTTCCAGGTAACTTTTCACTTAAATCGCACATGACGATATAAAGGGATAATATACATTTCATTAGAGAAGTCAATGCTCTTGAAATGGACAGTACGCATACATTTAGCACTTTCACGGAAAAAAAACGTCAAACTCGACAATTCAAGCTTAGGAACCATGATCAAGCATGTAAATGTTTCATTTATTTTGTTATGCATAGTAATATTTATACTTTTCTATAGCATGATCTCTACATGTGTTAAACATTTTTCTTCCAAGTGGTCAAATTCCTTTTAATTTCACCTAGAGCTATATTGAAATGTCAGGTTTTGAAACCAAATTGTTAGGCGAAACTGATGTAAATATATGGTTAAGTCACGTGAATCATCTTTATATACCAAATAAACTTTAAGATAGGATTCAAGTTGAATCGACGAGATGCAAAAATAAACTTTAAAATAAGGTAGCTCGTAAATACTCCAAGTTGAATTGACTAGATTTAAAAAAAAAACGGTCAACACAGGCATGGTTTATGCATTGAAAACCAAAACCAAATAAAGCTGTTGTTTATTTTATCCAAGCTTTCGTATCAGAAACAAATACCTTTTGTATTCATCTATATCGGCTTTCGTGGTTACCAAGATAATGTTTTAAATTGATCTGTAAGCGCTTGTTTCCTGATAATTTATTGTAAATAAGTTATTCAGTATTTTATCAATTAAATTCTATAGTTCGAGATAAAGAGGAAAATGTTTTGTAATTTTAGTCATGTAAGCGTTTAGGTCTTAATATAATTTACTTTACAACTTGATATTAGTTTTAACCTCACGTGACTTTATATTTACTTGTTGCATATTTTCATGTATTTTTTGGTCATTGTGTCTTTCTAAATTTTACTATTATACCGTTCCCGGTGATCGTATATAGTCAAACATAAGAGCAATGACTTCCGAACTCAAATTTAATTTCGGAAATATGAGCCTCAGTACTATTCATAGTGATGATATGCAGGATAGAAAACGTCCGCGTCAAAATGCAACAGAGGCAAGGTCTGAAAGGAATGTTCCCTTTATTGAAGAGGATTCATTTTCAGATATAGTTCTGGTTGTTGAAGGCAAACGTCTCTACACTTCACGGTCACTTCTATCTATGTCGTCACCAATTTTGACACGGATGTTACAATCTCCTGAGTTCAAAGAAAAACGAGAGATTCCACTAACAGGAAAGAAACATGAACATATTTTGGAATTGCTCTATATACTACATCCTGCGTATCAGAGAAAACTATCAGGTAAATTGTAAACCTATTGCATTGTGAATAATAAAACGTCTTAATGATACACTTCAAAAGAGTTTCAACATAAAATCGCTTTGATATAATGCATGACACGTGGCTGTTAAAGACAAAATTTATATACTTTATTACAAATTTTAAGTCTTTTTTTTTATGTAAAATGTGCATTTAGATGGTGATGTTCCTTTGGCACCATCTTACGGTGTTTATATTTCACAACTCGTTCGCTATTCCCGTGTCTGTTGTGACGTTTTTGATTTTAACGAACGTAATCTATGTATTACTGGTAAATTATTAAGCCAGGGATTTCGTTACCACAAATTACTTAAAACCTTTACTAAATTCTTCCACAGATATAAAGATTTGGTTTTGAAGTTTGGTTGTACCTGTAGAAAACTTATTTCAAACGGGATTGCACATCCTCATTTTTACGGCAATATTGTTTACCGTGCCCGGACATTTTGAAACGATCCTGGTAAACATATCGATCCTTTAAATAAACTTATTCTAAAAGGTTACCAATTCAACACTGTAGTTAGATCATTAAATATTGTTTTTATTGATACTGATATTGATTTTGTTAGCAGTAAATTAAAAGCAAACTAAATATTATTGTTATATACATATACACATTCATGGATCTACAATCTGTCGATACCTCTATCTTCGCATTGCACAAGGTCATGTTTTTCTCTGACTGTTTATGACGTCTTTCCACTAAATCCATTGGATGTTGGATGTGTACGGATTGATAATTTAGTCTTAGATGCATGATTTTTTTGTTAGTTAGTGGCTTTGAACTAGCTGTCAGTAAGTGCGAGTACTCTCAGATCTGTACTTAGTGTCTTTTTGTTGTTTGGATGTACAATTACCCGGCCACGTCCACTTGTATTTGTAGTATTTGTATTTTTATCCATCGGATGAGTTAAGCCTCTTTCAACTGATTTTTATAGTTCGTT